TCCCCTCCCCAACCTGTGCACCACCACACTGCCCGCCATACGCTACGACGCCGCATCACTCCTTCCCGCCCTCGTCCGCTCTGCTGCTGGCGCTGGCCCATCGTTTTGCTTGTTTTTATATCTGACACCCGCCGCCTCGCCTCCCCAACGAGACATTACTGTACAGCCTATCCCCGCGTTAATACTGCAATAGAGCCCTGGCATCCTCCGCCGTCAGCAGCACCGCGCTCCGCCGCCTTCTCTTACCTAGACTTTCGCGTTGCTCATTGCCTCCGCCGTGGATAAGCCACCAGCCATAAAGGTACGCATATAGTACTCACTACATTTACCGCACCTGAGCTGCACCGTTTGCATTTTCCCTTACAATACTTTTTCCGGCCGCCGTGGCCCATACTCATCGCCATTTCTTCCCGTCAAACCACGCTTGTTCCCTCGGCTCACCTGGGTCTGCGCCAAATATACAGTCGCAGGGTGCGCTGACAGTTCCAACCCAGACATTAGACTCGATAAATATCCGAGCTCCACGCGTACGCGACAGGTTCCCCAGAACATACGACCTGTCCGATTCTCTGCATCATCCATGGTTGTGATCCACCATCGACTTGCGGGGCAGCGTGCACGCCATTCAACCATTCCCCAACCCATATCTGCCAACCTCTGACCCGCCCCTCTCTAACAGCCAAGCCATGTTCATGTTTAATAAGAACAACGCCGTACCGGGCTCAAGTGAGTCGTCTGTGGACTCCCTGGTCACCGTCCCACCAGCTTCGACCTCCGCTTCCGATGTTTGCCAGTCCTCGGATGCTTCATCTTACGGGGACCTACCTTCGCCTGAGCAACAAACAAGAGCCCACCTCAGCAAGAGGACCTCCGTCTTCAACCTCCGCTCGAGGAGTAACACGGCCACCTCAACCGCCTCATCCTTCGTCTCTGTCGCTTTACCCATGGCGGGACTGGAGAGTTCGTCGCACCGCACCTCGCAAGACCTCCGCCATGTGGCCAGCCAAAGTTTCTTGGAAACGCATAGAAAGAAGCAGTCGCTGTTTCGAGGAAAGAAGGGCAAGAGGCTGAGCGGCTCGCTTTCCCCGACCTTCAATATGGATGAGACTGCCGAAGCTGATACTGGAAGCAAAAGGATCTCGGTCCTAAGGAAGAACCGAAGGCATACCAATCAGTCTGAAAGCTCTTGTGAGTGCTGTACCATGTACGCATAGTGCATCCGTTATTAATATTTCCAGTTCATAACCTCAAAAACCGAATTTCCAGACCCTTCGATTTCCAACATTTGACACACACCGACCGAAACCAATTTCCCGCCTTAGAACAAGCCTCTGAAAACGATCTCGTAGCCGAATTCTGGGCGGTTCGCGCCTCACAAGCTCCCCGTCGCGACCTTACTGGTATAAAGGCTGAAGACCTACACTTGTACAACTTCTCGACGGAAAATCTGGCTTCCGAGTCACGGTCAACCTCCTCTTTGGCATTCAGGTCGCCGCCTGGCAGCCCTGAGCCGTACGAGGGGCAGCTGCCTAGCGGCTTCGCGGAAGAATCCAACGGCCAGTCGCTTCGCTTGATCAGATCAGTGGAAAGTTTCTCGAGGCCGGGAATCAACCCTCGCGCCCATCGTCATACGCAGTCGGCCAATCCACCGCCTCGGGTGTCCTCCCGTGTGGCATTGGCACCCATTCATGACGTCCCAGAAGAGGCGGTCGACAACCACGAACCCTTCCACGTTATGAGATCGCAATCCAACCGGCAGTCGGGGATGTGGGACTATTTCATCCCATTGAGCCCCACAAGCTCTCGCGGACAGCTCCCGCCTATGGCCGAGGAGTCGGAATATGTTGCGCATGCCTTCACCACTCCTGATGATTCAGCAATCCACCCCATGACCCCGCCGTTCAGTCCTGGCCTTGACCATGTCGCAGAGGAACCAGAACGATTCATCAGCCCTAGACCAGCGCCCCGACCCCCTGTCAGATCTCCCAGGTCTCCAAAGTCGCCTGCCTTTGAGTCATTTGCCTTCAGCAATCAACGATCTCCAATATCGAGATCACACAACCGGAAAAGCTCCTACACTTCTCCCAAGTCGTCCAACCAACGAAGCTCCATGATCCGCCCCATGTCCCAAATGTCGGATACCTTGGGCTCGCCTGGTGTCACCCGAAGGACCTCCGTTCGTCGGGCTTCATCATCCCGCAGGAAGTCTAATACGTGGCGGGTCATCGAAGAGTCGTGGGAGGACGATGTTGATTACATCTACGACAATGCGCTTGAAGCTGATTGTGATTTTGATTGGGACTGCACGTCTGATGGTGGATCCTTCGAGGACAGGGATCGGACACCAGAGCAACAGGATCACCAGCCTTCCTCCGCTACTAGATCGCACCACACTCGCGCGTCTTCTTCGATAGCCGAAGAAGAGCCGACTCTGCAGACGAGGTTCTTTCCGGGTCCCTTCGCTCCGTCCCTGCGAGTGCCGAGTGCCAATAATGTCCCAGAGCTAGAGTCCCGGTCGGCCGCCTCTGCTTCGACCGCTGATACCGGTGTGCGGACGCCCTCCGACTTCTTCGGTGCTCCCTCTCAGGACGAGGAAGGCTTCCACCTCAATCCTTCTCTTCTTGTGCCGCATGACTACAAAGACCAGGTCTCACGCGAGGATATGTATGATGATCTCCTTGCCGACTACGAGGGCTTTGACCGCCATTTCCCGCTGCTCGATGCAAGCCGCAGCGTTGCTAGCTCAACGCGTAGCAGCCACGTCCGCTCCAGCAAGCGCAGCTCCTATGACAGCAGCTTGATGTCTAGTGGTCAAGCGTCGGGGTCTTGGACTTCGGGTATCCGACGCTCTGCGAGCTCGTCGGGCAGCCTTCCAGAGCTGGTCCACTCCCGACGCGCTCGTCGAGATTTCAACATGATGGTTGACCATCTCTCCGAGCAGGTCGCCTCTTTCTCGGCTTTCGGCGAGGATGATACCGAAGAGAACGAAGACGATACAACCCCACCAGCACACGCTTCTCCCGATAGGACTTTCTTCACTGCTGATGACGAACCACAGCAGGATGACGATGTCCGCGCCTCGATCGAGCTGGAGGTTAGGGCCTCCCTTGAGCTTGCCCGACAAGGTTCCACTCGCTCATCTCGGGCTCCGGCCCACTACCACAAGTACGCCTCTTCAGATGGTGCAGCCAAGCTGCTCGCTTCTCCTTTGCCACCGACGCCAGAGCCGCGTCCCTCAAGATCCCACATTCGAGCAACAAGCTCAATCACTGCACTCCGAGGAAAGCGAGACCAGTATCTCAGTCTCTTTCCCACACCACCGACGCACTCGCCACTTCCTTCACCCTCTACTGCTTCCGAGAGCGCATTCAACCGCTTTTAACCGATCACATCGATCACCGGCGTCCTTTCTAGTCACTACTTTGTACTTCTACGGTGCTAAATCACCACTGCATCGCGCCCAGGTGGCCACTCGAACGACGGCCGGGCCAAACTTCGATTCTTACGATGTCAATGACTTTGCATACCCTTCATGTAGATATTCACGATCACGACGGTCGGATTGGAGCATTCTTCATTTCTGTCTCAAATCTTTCTGGGTTTCTAAGGGAAGACAAAAAAGTAGAGCTTGTTTTGGCTTTCCACGTTGGGATTTCTTTGCATTGTCTGTCACACTCTGTCTCCCAGTCAGCTTTTCCTTTGCGTCACTTTCCTATCTCAATTCTTGTGGAGTTGGACTAAAGAGCGGCGTTTAATATGAAGAGGGAAGTTGGTCCGCTCTGTTGTTGTATTCTCACGCTATACACAGCGCCGCTACTGTCACATCACTTAGCGCTTTTCCTTTGTCACAATCAGGAGGTGGCACTGTCAATAAGCAATGAGGTCGACGAGGTGGATTGAATCTTTCCACTGGTCGTTTGTCCGCAGCGGTGGAGCTAATCACCTCCCCTACAATATCATTATCTAGAGGAAATAGCAATGCCGAATTGCTCGTCTCTTGCATCATTATTATCCTACTTTTATCCCCCAACATCCTCTTCCACCGCCTTCGCTTGGATGTATTGGCCCTGTGGCTTTTCAGCCTTGTCTCCAACGGCTAACAAACTTGCAGTTCTGTACAACATCGCGTGCGAGTCAGTGAACGCCCATGGCTTGCCTTTCAACGCCAATCGATATGACACCTTCGGAGCCTCTATAAAGATCTTCAACTCCGCTCTCGCATTCGGACACTTGCAGCATGCACGACATTAGCCCAATGTTCAACGTCAACCTTTTAGCTCCTTCTACCAGCTTCGATCCGGTTCAATTTCTTCTTCAGCCTCCTGTTCTCCCTGGCGACGATCTTAGAAGAAGGCTTACTGCGGTTGCAGGGGGAAGTTTTGTCAACTTGGCAATTACACGCTGAGGCCAAACAAGATGACGTACAAGGTCTGATAGGCCAAATCAGCCCTCACTGGCCCTTTCGAGGTCTGTGACTTCTACGCCGAAATGCCAAGTTGACAAAACTTCCCCCTGCAACCACAGTAGTAGGCGTGTAGCTCCGCGCACTGGCGCGTGCTACGCCGCTCTCGTCGCTTTGTCGCCTCGTATCGTATGCATACACGCATGCCCCGTCGTCAGAGCGAAAACATATCAGCGGCCCGGATAATCTCATCGGCGCAGACTATTTTACCCTTCCCCGTGACCGCCAGTCAACAGTCAAGGTCCAAACGCAGGGGCCCTTGGGCGCATCATGCAAGTGCGAGCTCCATATGCAAGCAAGTGTTCTTTACCCGGAGGCGATCTATCCGCAGCAACACCGCACGTCAACCGATGACTAAAATGCCCCAGGGTCGACATCACGTCAAACAGCCTGAAGAGGGTGAAACAAGGTTGGCATCGATCTTTCTCAGCACTGTACTTCTACATACGTCTTCTGGGATCTTTCCTATTCTGTTATCCACGACTTGACGATCTTCGCCTCTTTCAAAGCGCAGTGATGAGGAGGCTTTTTTTCCACATTTTTTGAAGGTATGAAAAGATGCGGCAAATATTGCGGTGCGAGAACGGCTTGATATAGGGCTAATGGAAGCAGGACAACACCTTCGGCATGTGAGATGTATGGGGGCAGACTATGCGTTGGATGCAAGGCAATTCGTATTTTGAGTTGTGAGGAAGACTAGGTAGGTGTATGGTGTACTCCACCGCCCAAGAGGCCAAAGAGCTGGAGTCTGGAGACAAGAGCTCACGCGCGTCTCCGTGCGCATACGGATGCTGTTTTTGTACCGACTGCAGACGCCTCGCAATCTATGAGAGACTGGACGACAAATTCTCCATTTGGCGCCGGAGTTCCAGTGACCGGTATCGAAACGATGAGGGCTGAGCGACTTCGGCCACGTCGATGCAACACCGCCTACTAGTAATATCGGCTTTCTCTGAAATTCGCTGCTGCATTTTGTTTATTGGGGGATATGGGAAATGGGAGGATGCTGTTTGGTTGAATGGGAAAAGCGATGAAGATGGGTGGGGGAGGAGTTTATGCACCCATTCTGGGTCGATGTGGATTCCTCTTTAAGTGTGGAGAAGAGAAGGGACATCCGTATGCAGGCCAGTCGAGATGAAGCCGAAAGACCCGCATAGATGAGCTTCGTCTGGTCAAACGCCTGTACCGCCTGTTCAATACCTCATCGCCAAGGTGCGTTTCGTCGATCTTTGCAGCATTGATAACGGAACCACATCAACGATGCGAAATCGACTGCAAGCGACCCCATCCGAGGATTATCTGCAAGCCTTCAGCCCGCCTCCGAAGGTTACACAAAGACAATGCTGCACTGCACTGTACTGCATGGTTTCGCCCTACGAACGCGCGTTGGTAGATACTGAGCCGTTTTCATGTAGGACTCACGTCGCGTATGCATGCACTTCATCTCCACTACAGGTACATCTGCGTTCGATATTGAAGGTCGCCACCGCGGCTCTGAACTCCTTTTCCTGCCTCCCTCTACTTTCCGCCCTTGATGGCTGTGACAACACGCTCTCGGCCGGCGACAGGTCCATTTGCCCAGCCTCTGTCCCAGCCTCAGTCCCAGCCTCAGCGCTCTAGCACGTGCTCCCCTTCATCGTTTACGCCGCGAAGCACGTTCTCGCTCATCATCAGTACAGTATCTAGGCACGTTCTTCCTCTTCGCCCCATCCCCCCACGTCCGCCACCATCTGCACAACCAGCAAAAAGCAACCATAACTTACATCCACGCGAGCCGTCCCAACCTAGGGGAAGCGAACCCACAACATACATCCCGCCAAAAACAAATCCCATCTCGCATCGCGGAACTTCCTAGATCCTAGACAGAGCACATCGCGTATGTATCTTCATCTTGTATCACACTTGGCACGAGCACGAGCACGAGGCGCGGGACGGGATGACCAAGTGGGGGTGGGAGAAGATATAGATGTAAATATTCCGCGAACGTGCGCATAGCTTCGAGAAGGTTGGGGATTGGGTGTCTGGAAGGAGAAGCGTATCCCATGGGTGCAGATGCAAGTGGCGGGATATGATCAATTGTCGTGTCTACTCGAGCACGAGTAGTGAAGAGAGATGTGCGGAAGTGCGTTAGCATCATGCCAGATTTATGGCATTGAATAATTTGGTTCCGAAGGACAGAACCGCCTTCGTCATTAAAAGGAGGGGCGACAAAGGTCCCAGGATCCCGGGAGGGATCTCACGAGCGACCCGCCACCGCGGCTCAGGGTCCCAGATGGAGATGACATCGCAGATTCGTAGAGGCACCCCACTGTGGCAAACCTTGGAACACGCACCAACACCTGACACCGTAATAGTGGGAGAAGGGCTAGCAAGCATTACATTAGCGGCAAAGGGGTATAGCTATTCAATGACGGCGGGTAATCTATCTAAGCAAGCAAGCTTCAACATCGTCGTTATCCAAACTCACCCGCTTTCCTACCAAAAAGCCCAGACAACTGGTTGCTCTTGGCTCCTGGCTCCTGGCTCCTGGCTCCTGCTGCTGCTCTGACGCTTGCGTAGGCAAGAAGAGAACCTGACGGAGAAGCCCAGACCGTGACGCCGATGCAGCCTATATGCAAAAATCTGCGTCACTGACTTGCGAAAGTCGTATTCAGGTTGAGAGCAATCCACGATCCCACGGTTCGCACTCCGTCATCTCCTCAACCTTCACGGCGCTTTCAGTCGCCGTTGGCCTGTCCGTTGCCGTGCTCTCCGCCCATGTATCGCTGCATGTAGGATATGTAGTCGTATTTTGGTACCTTACGGTCTTCTTGCAGATCGGGGCCCTTGTGCTCAGGCATAGTGGAGATGAGATCTTCAATGATTTCATCGGGGACGAGGGAATGACGGAGGTCGAGCTCGGTAACGTAGGGCTAACTATGTGTTAGTTTCCGTACTTACGAAATTTAAGGGGAAGGAATAATGACTTACCTTGCCATCAGCGACCTCCTTGAACGACTCAAACACTTGCTCCGCAGTATTCTGATCTTCCGTTTCGTCCACCATGAACCGGATGAATTGCTCAAAGGTGACAAAGTCACGGCCGCCGCTCGTCTCCCGGAACTTCTGATGCATCTCTTCCTCGTCGTACACAAGACCTAAGCTTGCTAGCGCAGCCGAAAACTCCAGCTCTTGTAGCGAATTTGATACGTCCCGGTCAAAATGCCTGAATACCGATTCGAACTCCTCCAATTGTATGGGTGTCAGATTCGTCATGTTGCGGGCAACCATCTGGTTCTCCAGAAAGGCAAGCTTCTTTGAGACAGACGAGCGCACCAGACCCAGCTCATATTCTAGCTCATCGTAGGTATAGGTTGTAAAGTCGTTCTCCTCGATGTTGGCTTCGACGCACTGGTCATCTATCGAGGCTATTATCTTCAGGTACTGATCTAAAGGCGCAAGCGATTCGCTAATTTTCTTCGTATGTTCGAGCTGGTCCTCGACATCGCCTTCCAGACCGGATATTGATGTGGCTAGTGTGTTAAGAGCCAGTGCGAAATCGTTGGCTTTATCAGCGAACGATTTCCTAAGTGCGTTCTTGATGTCGCGTATTGTCTCGTTGATTATCTGTGAACGCCCCCGCTCGGCTTTCATAAGTCCCGCCCATGCCCTGTCTAGTGCTTCTAGGCTGAGATCTGCTGGAGGCTCGTAGGGGCGGAGACGGTATGTCGATAGCTTTGTCTTGATGTTTCCCAATAGACCAACCAGATCTGACTTCTCTGCTACCCATGCCCGCTTATTCTTGCGCTTGTACGCCGTGAACTCGGCCGACTGGTTCTTCGCATCCACGTATGAGCCATCGAAGGTAGCCTCCTCCCACCGCGTCTGCTGCTCTGCAATTTGGCGAAGGAGTTCACGCATGCGCTTTTCGAAGTTATTCTGCATTTCCCACGCCCCGTGCATGTTTTGTACAAATTTCTCGACCCGGCGACCGGCGTTCTCTACCCGCTCCATCTGCGAGAAGGCGTGGAACCAGTAGGCGATGTACGTCATGAGGGAGCGCTCGTCGGGCTTCGCAACGTCGCATACGTCCTCCACGTCGAGGAGGTCGGGGATGCCGATTTCTTTGGAGGCGATGTCAAAGGCAAGCTGCATATTGCCGCGGTGGTCGTTCTTGTCTAGGCTGTCGTAGTCGATCAGGTCGGGGCGGTGGATGTCTAGGAGGGCGCAGCTGTCGGACCGGTCAGTTGTAGCTCCCCGAAGCAGGCTGTTGTCACTCACAATGCCAGCCCGTCATTCCAGCTCGTCGAGAAGTCCCGCACCTCGACCTCGTCGTAGCATGCCGTCTTCCGCTGGCACCAGAGCAACAGCCCCTCTTTGGCGCTCAACCCCTCCTCGTTGATGTCACTAATTGTAAAGCGCAGAATCAAGGTCCATATCAAACCCAGGATAATCTTGCTGTTGCCGTCGACAACATCCTCGGCACCAATGTTTGTCATCTGGATGCCCCGCCCCTTGATGTAGTCCAGCGATTTGTTAACGTTCTCGAACTTCTGCACGCGGAGCTTCGGACGCGAGGCGTAGCGGCCGAGGGATTCATTGCTTAGGATTTCGAGGAGGTGGATGAGGGCAATCTGGGGGGGGTGGGGGGCGTCAGTACCTCAAAGGGCGGTCTGCGAATGGGATGGAAAGAGGGGTCGTTCGAATGGGGGGATGAGGGCTTGGGGGGTTACGAACGCCGTCGGACAGGTCTTTGATCAGGTCATCAATCTCGACCTCGCGGGTCTTGAGCTTGCTGTTGAGCCTGCGGCAGTGCGGTTAGCAGCGTGGTACACAGCGCGCAGAGGCAGCGGGGACGCGCACCATTTGGTGAATGTTTTCTGCTGGACTTTAACCCATTGCTGCTCGAGCGGCGCCATGCTGGAGGCTGTGCATCGGGGCTGCTCGTGTACTGCGCAGGAAACGGGGCGTGTGCGGTAGAAATAGGGCGTGGTATCGATGCTGCTTGCTGGGGGTGCGTGTGTTTTCGGCGGGCCAAACACTGGCTGACTGGCTGACTGGGGCGCAGGGCGGGGGTCCGCCGTTGTCAACCTCGTCGCCCAATATTCTCCCAGAACAACACAACCCCCCGGCGTCGAATACTGATCGCATAAATTGGCTTTCTGCTTCCCAGCAGCATGGCTGCTCAGGATGCTGAAACTGCCCTTTCACTGCCCCTTCACTGCCGTACCATGAACCTGCGATAGCTCCCATCCTTGTCCTCTCCGCCTTCCTGCTTCTTCTCAATATCCTCAACGCAGTCCTCGACCGCGCCGTCTACTGCGGCCTTCTGGGCCAGGTGCTCATCGGCATTACGTGGGGCACTCCTGGGGCAAGATGGCTCCCCACTCAGGTGGAAGATGTCGTGGTCCAATTGGGCTATCTGGGTCTGATTCTGCTCGTCTATGCAGGCGGTCTCTCTACATCGTTCAGAGCTCTCAAAGCCAATCTTCTTCTTTCCTCCGCTGTCGCCCTCACTGGCATCGCTGTCCCTATAGCCCTCTCATACTCTCTTCAGGGTCTGCTGGGCGCAACCCCCTTGCAAGCCTTCGCAGCCGGCGCAGCGCTTTGCTCAACAAGCCTTGGGACTACATTCACTGTGCTTGCCTCGAGTGGACTATCTCCCACTAGATTAGGCATCGTTCTGACAAGCGCCGCTATGATGGATGACGTCGTCGGTCTAATCATGGTTCAAGTCATTTCTAACCTAGGCGGAGACAGCATCAGTGCCATCACTGTCGTTCGCCCTGTTCTTGTCTCCGTAGCCTTCGCCGTCATCGTCCCTCTGGCATGCCGTTTCCTTGTCAAGCCTATCACTATGGTACTGAACCAATATCGCAAGACTCATCGCGATGCTCGGATCAGCAAACTGCTCAGCCTGCGAAGTGCAGCTTTCACATTCCACACGTCACTCCTTGTAGCCCTTGTAGCTGGTGCTAGTTATGCCGGTACTTCGAATCTTTTCGCAGCGTACATCGCAGGAGCAGCTATCAGTTGGTGGGATAGCGAAGTACCACATCCGAATACACACTTAGAGACGGCACAAGAGAGCGCAGTGCAGGAAAAGACGAGGGAAACCGGTCCGGCATCGGATGGCAATGCAACCTCGGAAGCGGCAGCTACCGGTGAGGACGAAGTCGATGCCCGACGGAATAGCAGACAAGGAAGTGCAGTCCAACGGAAGCCGACCGAGCATTCTGAAGAACCACTGTTAGTGGAGGACGTTACGTCAGGGTCTGCCATCTATGAACGATACTACCAGCAAGCCGTGACGCGGATCTTGCAACCGTTCTTCTTCGCATCTATTGGGTTTTCCATACCAACCACCCGCATGTTCACAGGATCCATTGTCTGGCGCGGCATTGTTTATACCATTCTCATGAGCTTTGGGAAGCTCGTCTGCGGGCTCTGGCTCGTTCGATTCTCCACGCCGCCAGTGAGGGATGCATTCCGCAAAATGCCATCTAAGATGAAACTCCCCTCCGCTCCTCACTTGTGGGGAAAGAGCAAAAACAGGAGAAGGCCGGCCGAAAATAACGCTGGGGAGTCTATACCACAAGACTCCCAGCCATCGAACGCAGCGCATGCGGTCTCACACTCGCACACCGCCTCTGTACCGAGGCCCTTCTCCCTGCATCCGCCTCTTATTCTGGCTCTTGCGATGACGGCGCGGGGCGAGATTGGTTTCCTCATATCGGCCGTTGCAGAGTCCCGGGGCGTCTTCTCACAATCTAGCCAGACGCCTGGCTCCGAATCCGACATCTTTCTCATCGTCACCTGGGCAATCGTGCTGTGTACGATTATCGGACCATTAGGTGTTGGTCTTTCGGTTCGACGAGTGAAGGTGCTCGAAGCGAGGAAGAACGGTGAGCACGAGGGCGCTGGACGGGACGTCCTCGGTGTATGGGGAGTCGAATAGACGTCTTCCCGGTATGCACACTCGGTAGAAGCTGGCCCGACAGTCCCACGTGGTAAGATCGTTCCGATCCCATATCAAGCCGCGGATCTGGTTTGAGCTTGGGGAAGCTTTGCCATGCGAGGAAGGAGACTACCTAGCACTCCTGACTGAGCTTCATAGAATGGCATTCGATACAGTTTATCCAGCATTGAAACGCGGAAGGCCGTCCGTTGGTCAGTTCTCTCTGCGTGTAAAACAAGAGGGGCACGCGATGGTGTATGAACTAGGATGCGATTGATTGGGTTGGTGTTCCGCACCACCCGTGGACACGCAAGGACGCCCAGCAGCGTGGAACCGCGGCTCGGACGGCGTAGACGCAGCCACGTCCACGGTAGCGCTGGGTGTTGACGGCTGTCATGATGCTCACGAGGGAAGAAGGTACTTTGACTGTGATGGGCGGAGAAACATGTAACCGGAAGATTGTAGCTTGTCCGGTTGCAACTTTGGACTGTTTCAGACGCCGCCTGAAACGCTGCGATGGCGAAGATCCCTACAGCCGCCCTCTCCAAGCTTTTGCCTCAATCGCCGCGCCGGCGCTGCCGCTTGTGGTTGTGTCGCGCCTGGCTGTGCTTGAAACGCGCCCGCGAATCTCTGCTTACGCCCGCCCCGTGAGATGCGCAGAATGCCAATCGAAAATTCCTCCGGCCTGTGCAGCGCGCCCGCGGGAAGCGCAGCGGCCCCGGGCGGTGGAGTCATTGGCCGCAGCGTCTTTTCTTTGACAACCTTGGAATTAGGGGGCTACGCGTCACGTGCCACTCGGCAGCGCTGCTTTGACAGGAGCCGTCACAGGCGGCGGACTCGACGAAGCTAACCCTGGCGGACGACTCCACAGCAACCCCCAGCCTCGCACGTCCACCACCACCGCTCTTCTCCCCCAGCACCACGCCTTCGCTCACGCCCGGTCTGCTGCGAGCACCTCGGCCTCGCACTGGGAATCTCTGTCTCCTCTCCATGAGGGGTGCCAGCTAGGACCTTCCGCTTGGTGCGAACATCGATTGGCCGCCCGCGCTCGCTTTCACCCACTGCTCCTCAGCGCAGCCCAACCACGCTGCACCCATTCCCACGCCAAACAGCAAAACACTCCCCGTTATCGTCGTACCGTGTGAGCCTCTCCGCCGCAGCGCGTGCTATCCTCCCCGCCGTCCCCCCGGCAGCCGTCATTGTGCCCTCGGTCCTGCAAGCCGGCCTCTCCCCCGCACTCGCTGCATCCGCCTCACCTGCTGGACTAAGCGGCACGTCGGACAGCATCTTCTGGCGCCCTAGTCGCTACCATCCCCATTGTTCGCATGACTGTCGCCGAGTAAGTATTGTGCGAATTCGAGCCGTCAGCCCACTCCGCATGCCCCTATGCAACGCCAGCTATTTCCGGCCAGGAAACCAGAGCCGCTATTTGGTCACTGCCCGCCTCTATTCACGCCTTGCAGTCATCGAGCTAATCACGGCACGCCAGAATGTATTCGCGCGATCAATTCATGAACCCCGGGCCCGCACCGCGGCCTCCCACCGACCGACCCCGCCTCAACCTTACCCCAAATACTAGCAGCAATCTGCCAGGAAACATGGCTGGCTTAAGCCTACAGTCGCCCGCATACAACAGCGGCTACAGCAGCAATAGCTCGACAACTTCACTTGTGCGGACGCAGTCGGAAAAGAGCTTGTCAACAACCTCGGTGGTGAAGGAGGGTAACGTCAAGGTCAAGGACGAGGGCCTGTTCAAATCCTTCGTCTGGGCAGACCGCTGGCTTGTCCTCCGCGAATTCGAGCTGGCCTTCTTCAAGAGCCCCAATTCTAACAAGGTGGCAAATACCATTCAGCTTCGGGATGTGCTTGGCGTTGAGCGCTCAGATACGCAGCCTCTGTCCTTCGAGATCACCCGCTCGTTGAACCCGAACAAAGGCTCGTCGCCGCCCCGTGACGGACCCACGAAGATTATCACCTGTAAAGTCGAGACCGACGACGACGTGTATTCCTGGATAGACAGCATCTATCAGCGCTGCCCCAGCATGGGCGGGGTGAGCAACCCCACCAACTTCACTCACAGAGTACACGTGGGCTTCGACCCGACGAGCGGCGCCTTTGTTGGATTGCCAGTAGAATGGGAGAAACTTCTTACCGCTTCTGCACTCACCAAGGACGACTATGCGAAAAATCCCAAGGCTGTTCTCGAGGTGCTAGAGTTCTATGCCGAAAAGCTCGTCAAACGATCCGAAGATCCTCAGCAGTATCCCAGCCTTACTCCTACTCCACCAGTGAGTGCTGGAATGGAGAAGCAGCTCGGCTATGGCGGCGGTGGAAGCTCCATTGCACCGCCGCGCCCGGCACCTCCAAATGGCTTCCCTCGAAAGGACAGCTACAGCATGTCCCGCCAAAATACCCCGCCCGGGTCTGGATACGCAACGCCGCAGGGTGGTATGCAGCAAGATCCCCGTTACGACGAACGCCGCCGAATGCAAGAGCAAGAGATGCGGGCACGTGAGCAACAGGCGCGAGACCGACAGAGAGAGAGGGAAGAGTATGAGCGACGAGAACGCGAGGATCTTGCTGCATATAACGCTTCCTTGCCGCAAAAGAAACTCCCAATGGCACAACAAGAGATCGGCGGCGCCCTCGAGGCGCGAGACTCCAGCCCATCAGGTCAGCAATCTCGCTATAACCCAAGCCGTCCAGCTCCATCCACCCCAGGTGCTCCGAGGAATCCACAACAACAACCGCCCGGTTCCCTGCGCCAGATGGCCGCTCAACGACCTGCCCCATCCGCACCGAAGCAGCAGAACGGCGGCGCTTATGGCACATCGCCGCAGTCTAAACTTCCCATGGCTCAGCAACAGCGGCCGCCGGTGCAACCAAACTCAAGGTATCAAAATTCCGCCAACCAGGTACCGCAAGCCCGGCCCGCCAATGGTCAGCCCCAGCAACAGAAGCAGTACCAAGGAGCCGCTGCACCTAAGCCGTTGAACGTCGCTACCAAGCAGCCTACAGGTGCGCCCGTGAATGATGCTGTGAAAAAGGCCGAGCAAGCTCTCACTAGCAAGAAGGAGGAGACGCCTCGCAAAGATGTGCGGATGTCGAGCATGTCTGAGAGCGAAGTCATGGCCAAGCTTCGGGAAGTCGTGTCGAAAGACAGGCCTTTGGACTCATATAACAAGCAGAAGAAGATTGGTCAGGGTGCCTCCGGATCCGTCTATGTCGCCCGCATCCGCGAAGGTGCCACCTCCCCGATGGCGCGTAGAATTCTTCAAGAGAACGGACCACGGGCCCAAGTCGCAATCAAACAGATGGATCTACGCAACCAGCCTCGCAAGGAGTTGATCGTTAACGAGATCATCGTTATGAAGGATAGCAAGCACCCTAATATCGTCAACTTCCTGGACGCGTTCCTACAAGAAGAGCAGTCAGAACTCTGGGTGGTCATGGAGTTCATGGAGGGCGGAGCTTTGACAGATGTCATCGACAACAATCCCTCAATCAGCGAAGATCAGATCGCTACCATCTGCTTAGAGGTGAGATTTTCCAATGAATGTTCAGAGAGCTAGGCTGACTGCAGAACAGACATGTAAGGGTCTGGAACACCTCCACAATCAGAACATCATCCACCGAGATATCAAGAGTGACAATGTGCTGCTCGATGGACGAGGCAATGTCAAGATTAGTAAGTCATCCTTTCGGACCCATGTTACCAGTAGCTAACACATGGACAGCTGATTTCGGTTTCTGCGCCAAGCTTACCGAACAGCGCAGCAAGCGTGCGACCATGGTAGGAACTCCGTACTGGATGGCTCCGGAGGTGGTGAAGCAGAAGGAGTATGGCAACAAGGTCGACATCTGGTCATTGGGCATTATGGCGATCGAGATGATCGAGTCGGAGCCGCCGTACTTGAACGAGGAACCGCTCAAGGCCCTGTACCTCATCGCCACCAATGGCACTCCCCGCCTAAAGAAGCCAGACAAGCTGTCCAAGGAGCTCAAGGCCTTCCTCTCCGTCTGCTTGTGTGTGGATGTCAAATCGAGAGCTAGCGCCACGGAGCTGATGAGCCACGATTTCCTTAAAAGTGGATGCAGCTTGGCTAGCCTAGCGCAGCTGCTCAACTTTAGGAAGAACGGAAGTCACTAGAAGAAGTTTTCCAGAGCTTTTATCCAACGTTTCCGCTTTTGGACTTGATCGATACCCTTTCCATACATACACTTCGCTCGACATTTCTTCGTACCTAGGCATTGCGCAACAGGCAGGCGAGCAGGCGGGCATCTTGGCAGCGCGGATTCCAAGACTTTTACTTTGCGTTCCGCACATGGATTGGGGAAAGGGGGCGAGCGACCGCGGCGGGACTTGCATCATTGTCTGGGCATCTTTCTCTCGCGATCACGGCTGGCTTTGACTTTGGATACCGGGGGCTTCACGTCCTCCCTGACGATCCTTCGCAGTGGATAGACTCTCGTTCATGCTACGACACGCGCTACGCTTTCAGATCTCGATCGTTCCAGGCACCGGCTGGAACTGGACGGCGAGCAAAGGCGTCGACTTTGGCATTATGGATAATGAGAATAGATCAATGAACGAAAAGTACCTTAAGAGCGTCGGGGCCGCTGGAGAGAGGTGATGCCGCCCGGGGGGTTTCCGCTACGGTTAATGGATATTGACTGTGGCCTCTTTAATTCTTGCTGTCTATTCTTTGATTGAGGGAGCTGATTGGTCTAACATGTACTATTTGCGCTCTCGTACGGGATGCGCTTGCTTGAATGCATAGAGGCGAATAGACTTTGTATGGTCTTTCTAGCACTCGAGTACATGGCTACGCAAGCCGGTCTGGAGCCGTTTGCTTCCGTCGCCTACTGCTACTAGATAATTACTTTTTTCCTGACGGGTATTTCAAATATTTGAGTGCTCGGGATATCGTGTACGCAAGTGTTTTACCTGATCTTCGAGGCCGCGTAAGGCGACAGCCTTGTGGAGGGTGGATGTGTGAGAGCCGAGCCGGGAAGAAGGGCTTCCGTACGCCACGCTGGTGAGGGGTCTGCGCATATCTGCCTTTTTTTTCCTCGATCGCATTTGTTTGCCTAGAGTTGACGGATAACTTGGGTTTGGAGAGGCAGGTTGCTTGGGGTCCTAGGTAGACAGGGCGCAACGATATTGCAGGATAGCTGTGATGATTGAAACCTAGCCTAGGTATCTTATCGTTTCATGAGAAGAAGTAGGGGCGTGTATATATCAAAGTCTATACGTTTCTACTAACTTCCAAGTACGGCGTTTTTCATCCTATCTGTCTCCAGGGCTCCCGAGGTCTCTACTAATGGTTTTTTTGTGCTAAGCCTGTTATGTCATGGGCAGCCTTTCTGTCTGGGGCAGCGCGCTTCCCCACTTCTCTTCCTTCATCAGCATATCGTAACCGTCGTTGCACTCAAGGCAAACCCCTTTCTTCGTTCCCTTATACATCAAGATGTCAACGGAATCGCGGTTGGAGAGCTCGCGATCTCTGGGACGTCACCGGCACGGCTGAGGCATGAACTTCGTTCCGAGGCTCCGCACAAGGCGACAGGCAAGTATTGAGTAGCACAAGGCTCGAAATACGCTCCTGTAAGTGGTTGAGTATTTTGATCACTGCGGAAATGTACAGCTTACCCAGCATTTACACAGCCCCCACAGTCTTATCAGCCGGCTGACTTGCGTGCCTCGCGACAAGGATTCGAAAGTGATATAACACTTTCTCCTTGCTCCTTCAAGCATTCCCAGATTCCGCCCCCTCTCGTCTCATGGATTTTGTGCCCCTGGGGCACCCACCAGCGAAATGGTGCTAGAGGCTCTCGCTGCAGTTGGCCTCGCCAGCAACATCGTTCAATTCGTCCAATTCGGCTGCGAGGTCATATCCACGACGCTGAACCTTGATAACAGCGCTGATAAGGTCGCAAACCGGCACAATGAGATCCAGGTGATTGCGAAGTCGCTCAAAGAGCACTGCGTCGCTCTGACTACAGCTCAAACGTCGAATCAAAGCCTTCGGGATCTGGCAAAGCACAGCTCCGACGTAGCTAACGAATTGGCATCCACGGTTGCGAAGATCAACAAGGACGTTACGAATGGAAATTCGACGAAGTCGAGGTATCGCCGGTTTTTGCAGGCGTCGAAATCGATCATCAAGCGAGGGGACATTGCTAAACTACAGTCACGGCTAGAGTCACTTCGTGACCAGTTGGAGCTTCATTTGATATCGGAAACAAGGTAAAGCCATTTCGCTCTTCCTATGGAACAAATGCATCTTTCCGTCCTTGCTCCGAGGGTTGACTAACGCGCGGTTCCAGAGAGCATCAGCTAGACACGGCAATGGCACTGGAAGCCCTACGAAAGTCCAATGTCAATCAGGACCTTACATACAACACCAAGTTTGCTACGCTCGCTCTCAAGCTGGATGGAATTCACCATGAACTTTCTCAGGTTACTGCTTGCGTTTCTCTGAAGAAGCTTGAAAATCCCGTGAAGCAATTCAAGGAGGGCTTCCAAGGAATAACAGACAATATCACAAGGGCCACAGCTATACTAGGAAGCTTGCATTATGAAAGTATGCAGGCTCGGCACGACGCTGTCCGCGATGCACACAAGAGGACCTTCGAATGGATTTTCTCAGCCAATGGACAATCAAGTGAAGACTCGCGCTCCAAGACATTCTTCTTGCCATGGCTTCAGCACGGGCAGGGTATCTTTTGGATAACTGGGAAACCTGGTAGGTTCTCTGTTTTCTGCTCGTAGTCTCTCACGACCTGTGACTAAGACCGCAGTGGTAGGTTCCGGCAAATCTACCCTAATGAAGTATCTAGAGGACCACACGCAAACTATCCAAGCACTTCAGGAGTGGGCAGCCCCTAAGCATCTCGCATTTGCGAGCTTCTACTTTTGGAACGCAGGGACTCAGATGCAAAAATCCCTGCGAGGCCTCTTGCAGTCTCTTCTTTATCACATATTGCGGAGCTGTCCCAAGCTTATGCAATCCTTATGCCCGAGTAGATGGGGAGCGCACATACCTTCCGCCAAGTTGTCCGCTCTTTGGAAAGTCTCCGAGCTTCGCGAGGCCTTCAAAGCACTGAAGCACCATATATCCTCAGTTTCGACAAAATTCTATTTTCACGTGGACGGCCTAGACGAGTACGAAGGCGATCATTACGATGTTATCCAAGTTCTGCAAGAGCTTTCGGAGTGCTCAGACGTGAAGCTCTGTCTTTCAAGTCGACCTTGGAACTGCTTTCAGGATACGCTTGGAGAGGTCGCTGATAAAACGAGCATGCTTCGTTTGCATGAGCTAACAGCACAAGATATAGAGCTGTTTGCATACGAAAACATGCTTCTGCACAACCGACGGTTGAACAACCGCCGCGCAATCTTCGATGAGCTTGTTCACGAGATCAGGACCCGAGCGCAAGGCGTCTTCCTTTGGGTCTGTCTCGTAGTGCATTCCCTCCGCGAAGGTTTAGTCAACGATGACCCAATAGGGATACTTCGTAGGCGACTGGAGGGGTTACCCACAGATCTAGAAGCCTTTTTCGAACACATACTCAATTCTGTCGACGCAGTGTATCAGGATCAAATGGCTCGCGTGTTCCTCGCGGCGCTCACGACTAAGAATCCTCTGTCGGTAATGCATTACTCCTTCTTGGACGAAGACCCCGAGTTTTGCCTGGCCACAGACTTTTCAAACCTCAGTGACGAAGAGGTACGCTGGCGGGTCGAGCAAACTGAAAGGCGTCTGAATGGACGCTACAAAGGCCTCCTGGAACCGTACAAAAAAGGGGATATCCTTCAACCTGGCGATCCTATCTTCTTTCTTCACTTAACCGTTCGAGATTTCCTCCGATCACCCCAAATCCAAAAAATGCTGCTAGATCGAGCGCCTGCAGCTTACGATGCTTACGTCACGATCGGCCTTACTCTCGTAGCGGAGATCAAGTACGTCAAATCACCTAGTCTCTATGAGAACTGGACAACTCTCCTGGTGGACTTTTTCGAGGTGCTGCGAGATGCCAAACGACCCGATGTTGAGTACCTTGTCGTGGATCAGATGGAGCTCATAACGCGACGTTATGCCGCCCTTGGGTTCACCAGCCCTTTGGTGGAAATTTCTGCCAGGCTTGGCTTTGCCGTGATCGCTGTCCATATCGGCAGGATTGACTACATCAAACATCGACTCGCGAAAGATCCAAAAGAGGTCGATATGAACGCCTTGCTTTTCCACGCAATCCAATGCCCTCCGTTTTTTGACTCCGAAGAAGAACACTCTTGCGGTGGCATGTATTGGCTTGAAAGTGACTGCAGCTATGCGAAATCAGCGGAATGCAGTCCTCTGCTTTACGTTGTGAAGTTTCTCCTTGACAATGGAGCCGATGCGAACTGCACCGTAAACGGGGATACCAATTGGAGACTTTTTCTTAGGCGCTTTCTAGGATCAATAAGCAAGGGTCCCTACCACAAGAAGCACGAGGACACCACCTGGCATGACGTCTTCAAACTTTTTCTTGATCATGGAGCCGATATCGGCGGTCAGACCGACATTTGGATCGAGTTCATTCATAATCGGAACCCCTTGGCACCGCTGGGTTTTGATGGAGCGTGTTCTACGGTATTCGAGACGCTGCTGCAATACGGATTGAAACCCGACGCGCGGGTTGATGGGCTTAGCGTTTGGGAGACTCTGATAAGCACTTCAGTCTTTCCTTATACAGCTTCGCCATGCGAGACTCTTACGCCTGGCCAGCGGAAGCTGATGGAAGCTTTTCTCAGTGTCACCACAAAACCCGAATATCTTCTCACCGAGACCAGCTGTCACAAAGGTGGTGTTGTATGGCTACGCTGGGCACTCAACAGTCTCCAAAACGACAAGGTCTTCGAACAAACCAAGATTTTCGAGCTCCTGTTACAATGCGGTGTTGATCCCAACAGGCAAATGGGGTGCAACACTTTTTGGGAGCTTGTACTCGAGTCAATACACGGGGGCATCGGTCAAGACTCGTGCGACCACCGATTTCAAGCGTACCAGGACCTCATCATTCTCTTCCTGCGCCACCGTGCAGATCCACACTGTGCAAAGCTTCATAAATTGGTGGGATGGCATGAAGGCGTCGCGTGTGTTGGCGCATTCTCTCCCGGCGCCGTTCACTCAATCCGCGGGATCCTGTCAAAAGAGATGGAAGACGCCCCTTCGAGAAAAGGGTCCACGGAATCGTCACATGTATCAGCTACCGCACCTTGCCTTAGCCCTTAAGGTAGACTCCAACCTAATGGTTTGCGGTCACGCTCCAAGCGATGGCAATTTTCCATAGCGCCTAGCAGGTGCAGCTACCGTAACGCAAACAACGTTTGAGGCAAGGCAGCAACAGAAGAGAAGGAGAACGCATGATATGAGGAACACAACAAGAACAAAGAGGGACCGGTATTGACGTTGGTAGGGTTATAGGCTTGAGATTTATTCATGCTCGAAAAGATCACGAATTGGGATGCAAGCGATCCCGTTCCTATTTTGGAGGAATACATAGGCGCGGAATTATCGATTGAGGACGTACCCTTTGTAGCACCGTAATTGTTCGAACTTCCTCCTCAAGCTAGTCGAATCTCGTTCTAGAATATGCCGATCGGCCAAGAGTACCTAGGTAAGCCTCATCCTAAAGTCCAGATCCCCTTAGCCGCTTTTATAGCACGGCGCCAAGAAATGAAGCATCTCGTAGCGGAACCTCTGGATCGGGGCGATTGGCCATATCCATCCGAGACAAATGCACCTCCAATACCTCGCAATCTGGTTGATCCCGAGGATCTGACTGGCGAACCCTTCTCGCACGAGTCGGCCCCTGTTTTATACTGCCGCCCCCAATTTTGCACATTAAGCGGCCGGACGAAGCACAGCCCGGCGGGACGCCTTACACAACCTCAACTTCGAACCGCAGACTTCCCTAGATCTCCTCCGTGGAGCATTCACGTAACCCCTCTTCTCTCTCTCTCTTCCCTCTCATGCTACAACAATGATCTCCCTTCTCCTTCTCCTCTCTCCTGCACTCGCGCTAGCAGCACGCTCCTGCTACTCCCGCAACGGCACCCTAATTGACTCGCCCGCGTACCAGGCCTGCAACAACGACACCTCGCACGACTCCGTCTGCTGCGGCATCAACCACTCCGGCGCGGGAGACACGGGCGTCGCAGACGATACATGCGAGACGAATGGACTATGCCAGAACTGGGCTGGAGATGATGGAACCGGCGATCCGCCGATGCTGTGGTGGAGGCAGGGTTGTACGGATCCTACGTGGGCGAGCCCATATTGCTTGAAGGATGTTTGTAATTTCGGGCTGGTAAGTGCGTGCGGATGGTGGAAGCGGAAGGGAAAGGGGAACGTGGGACTGACTTGACGGGATAAATAGTGGCAGAATGACAATGCGCCTGTGCAGAAATGCGGTGATAACCAGTGGTGCTGCGGCGACGCGAATTGCTGCAGTATAACGACGAGCGTGTTCGCGCTCGCTGCAACCGTCGGACCGACATCGGCATCGACATCAGCATCGGCTTCTCTACCTACTTCTGCTCCAGCCACAACGACCCCTCCCACATCCACGCCTACGTCTACATCGCCACCCGCACCCGCCAACAATATCCTCACCACAGGAGCAAAGGTCGGCGCCGGGCTCGGTGTCGGCCTAGGTGTCATCATGCTCGGCATCATCGTCGTTCTCGGGTTGAAGCTAAGGCGAAAGAGGAAAACGGCCGATATACCGCCGCAGAATGGAGGAGCGGGCGAGAAACAGAGCGCGACGGTGTATGGATATCACCCTGTGTCGCCTCCGCCGGCGGAATTGCATGGGCAAGCCCTTGCTGCGGAGATCGGTGCGGAGCGGCAGAGAGCGGAGTTGGATGGGGATAGGGATGGAGCGGGAAGGAGGTGAGAAGGTTGGTTTGGAGAGAGATAGGAAGAGATTCTAGGGGATAATGTGATGACGTGTAATGTCAGTTATTTGTTTTATGAAGTGGAAAGAATTGGAAGTTGGATGGAAGAAGCTACCTTAAGGGGAGATCAGTATCTCGCCGGGCGTCCGAGACGGCTGATGCGCCTGAGTCCGCATTTTCGCCTGCCTTCCGGACGCGCCAGGGCCAGTGAAGTGGTGCAAATAGATAACAAAACCCAGAGACTGGTCGGTCGCGTAAAACTCCAGTGCATCTCCGAAAGCGGCCTTTATTTTGCCGCATACTTCTCATATGATAGTAGCCTCTAGTGAGAGGAGAAAAGAGAGAAAAAGTAGTGGAAGCCTGTCGACCCCGGAAAGCGGAAGGTGCAATGTGCATTGCCAGCCCCAGTCCATATAGGCTGAGAGTAGATGCGACAGCCTGTAGCCAGTTGCGTGAGAGCCGCCCACAGAAAGGGAACCAAATCTGCAGTTGGTACCGGTTAGAGGCTCCTGGAAGTGGCTTTCCGTACCCACACCTAGTTCTGACGGTAAAGAGAATGTATTTATGGATGCCGATGAAAAGACTTCGCTCTTCTCTTTACTTGCAAGTCTCCATCCAAGGTGCTCAGGTTTTTCAATCAATGATCCGCTTAACGCGGGCGTTGTGTTCCGGAAGTAACATCGCAACGGAGTATCGACTGCGCGAATTACGAAGGGCGTCTCTCCTGCAAGGAGTGCATTGGATGCAAGCGGGAGAGACATTCCTTCACGGCCCGCTCCTCAAAGTCTTCAGGCCTGAAAAACACGCGGAATTCGACAGTCTCCTGTCATACACAGGGACGAAAGCATCGTCTCTAAGAACACGGCAGGTTGGGCAGCTCGTCGGGACCTAGGATATTGCTCGTTGTAATCGGTTCAAGAGGCGTTCTCAGCGACAACCGGTTGTCGGGAGCTCAAACTAGCGTTCTCTTCCCTGGAAACATGCGCCATCGCCTCGTCAATAGGTATCGCAGAGGACTGTCGCGGAGGTGGATCGGGTGGAAAATTACCAAGGGAAGAGGGGCCTTGCGCAAAAGGGTTGTCTTCGCTCCCTGACGTAGCTTTAGTGTCAAAGACCATAATTGATGAACGCGGTGTGTTACTGACAAGAGTAGTCAAATTGGGGTGAAGGTTGACTGTCCTGACAGATGATATGAGTCATGAAAGGTGTCGATTTCGAGCTCTTACGTCAACTACGCACGAACCCCGAACTCAACATCCCGTCGAAGGGACCCCGAAGAGCCAAGTCATTGCCAACCATCTAGCGCGTCTCTCACTCAGACCCATTCGTAACGCCGCACCCACCTCTCTTGCGCGAGCCCGTTGCTTGGGACTGACCATGCCTAACAGCGACTGCTGCTCAACTGAATGTGGGATAGTAAGAACGGTACCATCCGTGGGCGATTGTGAAGGAGTTTCAACGAACGCCCATTTTCGCAGGCCGTCAGCGCGCAGCGTGTGTGCATTGGCGAGTGCCCACCAAAAGAGCCGACTCAGAGGTTCTCGACGCTCGAAGAATTCCGCATCGAAAGCATCGGTACCCATTGAGGCCGCTCGAACGAACTGCAAGTAGGATTTCAATGCTCGAATGGCGTCGTTCGCCCGGCAATCTGTAAGCTGCCTATTGTCGGTCCAGATCAGGGAGGAGTGATAGGGCTGCGAGACGTGTCGGACGTTCCCCAGGTCGCCCAGAAGCCATCGCGAATCGTCTTGGACGAAGATGTTGCTTGGTTTGATATCATCGTGGCAGAAGTTGGCGCTGTGCATGCTCTCGAGAGTGCGGAGTAGGCGGTTGAAAGTCGGACGATATAACGCGTCGACGTCGCGGAAACTCGAGGGGTTTGGGCGTCCTTTCACGGTTTTTGCAAGCGTGTTTAAGTTACCGCCGGCGACTAGCGGCGTTACAAGATGCCACGCGGGAGGCGATGTAGGTGACGAGCTTGCCATAAAATATGCCTCTACGGGCAGGAACCCCGTGGAATTCGCGTCGCCGTTGAAGCAGGACTTGTAGGATGTCGAAAGGCTAGAGCCACCGAAATATACTGAAGCGGGTATTTCCGTGGGCCATTTCTCGTTCGCGGACATAGGAGCACAGTTCCGGAAGGGGCTTTTCCCAGGAGCAAATGTCTTGATGACAGTATCGTTGTAGGTGAAGGTGGTGCCTTCCCAACCCGATCCCAAGACTCTCCACGCAGGCCGGTTCGATAGCAGATATTGTTGGAACTGTGCGTCTTCATCGTCCAGGCGGTGCAGGTGCGCACGAGGTTCTTCGAAGTCGGGGTTGAAGATTGTCGGAGAGTATTTCGTGGCGAGAGCATTGTGGTAGATGAAATAGAGTCGCTGCTGCTGGATAAGGCATATTATAAGGATGACTAGAACAAGACGATATTGTAGGAAATGCAGAGGCCGTGACGGACGCCAAACGAGCCGTTGAGGTGGTGACCCCATGGGAGCTCTTGAACGCCTGGAAGAGGTTGCGAAGGGTTTATGGCGGGGAGAGCGCACAAAAGGCAAGAGCGGCCCATCGTAGTGTCTTCAAGAATTCCTACCGTGACTATTTCAAGGCAGTGCGCACACGCGCCATCCGGGGATGCCGCGTTGCCGAGTGCGTTGTTCGATGCCGTGGTGTGACTCGTTTTGACGACAGGTACGAACGGTGCCTGAATGGCATCCAAGGAAGCCATGACATCATGACCCGTTGCGATAGACCATTGACAGCATCGGCGAGCCTTGTGCGAATCCGAAAACAAGGCCGCAAGACTCTTGGGACCTGACAAGCGAGTCCACTCGCACAGTCTCAGCCGCGAGCTAATTAAACTGTTGGAGGCGGTGCCATGCCGTTATCCGAGGAGGACGAATCCGCGGCACTGGACCGGCGGGCTTTAAGCGTCAAAGGGGAGCAATCGCGCGGTGGGACGAAGGCGGCCGAGGAATGGTGTTACAAAGTTCGATGGGGAGCAGCGGTGGCTGGAGTGAGGAATGATAGGGAGCGATGAGGACCCGTTTCGGAGCAGTGTCCGTCCCCGTCATCATCCTGCCCCGGGTTTGACGGGGAGACGCACCTGAGTGCAACTCCCTGTCGTAGGCTTCCTGATTCCATGGGCAAATAAACAGATGGTATGAGTGTGGGCATACATCTCCAAGCTCTTCAATCAGGGCGAACCGTGGCGTCCTCAGGTGATTGCAGCCCGCCAGTTGCGCTGGCTATTCTTCAGCCTCGTTGCGAGTATGCGCCGGGGATCGGGCCATTACCTCCACTGTCGTATGTTCTCTCGTATCGAGAGCCTTATAAGAGCGTCTATGATGATTGCGACGGGAGGCAGAAAACCAACGGCCTGCTCCACTCCGTGGGAATCGAGGGAAATGCGCTTCTTCAAGACGAACGACAGCTCCGAGCTGAACAATCAGCTTCTCGACATCGACCCTTCGGATGCGGATGCCATACGGTCCCTCCTCGTAAGAGGTGCAGATCGGAATACGAAACGCAAGAATGGCAAGTCTAGTCCCCTCGTCAGCGCCGCAGCCGTGGGTTGCATTCCTTCGCTGAAGGTACTTCTCGACCATGGCGCAAAGATCGATCAAGTCGGTGGACCTGTGAACCACGAGACGGCTCTTAATGCAGCTGTTTTCACCGGCTCCCTGGACGCTGCCGACTATTTACTTGACCGCGGTGCAAACATCGAGGGCGTCCTGCATATGCGTCCGATCCATTCTGCCCTCAAAACCAAGAACATCGTAATGCTCCATCATCTCTTGGAAAGAGGTGCCAATGCAGATGGGACTAATGTGCTCGGAGTCCGTCCAATCATGCAACTTGTGCGAGAAGAGATCGGCGGTTGCCATAGTCTGCGCAAGCCCCCGAAGGAGACCTGCAAAACATGCCGGAATCGCTGGGAAACGCTCGCGTGCATGGTACTGCTGCGGAAATATGGAGCAAGGGCCATAGTTTATGATACCGGAACGACCCCCGACGCTGTCTACGCGGATATCATTGCGTACTGGGACCGGTGGGCAGAACGAGGAAGGCGTGCCGGTGAGTGGCTAGCGGAGAACACTCTTGGAGACCCGACGATACAGACACTCATGGCATGGGGTTTCTTTGGAGTTCTGGGTAGCGTGGGCATTCCCACTCCTGCCCAGTCACTGATGGGGCTTATGGGGGGTCCAGAATTCAAAGACGTGAGCTCTATCTCTTGTTAGCCTTTGGAAGGCATGCACATACTAACCACTCCATAATAGAAACAGGGGCGCCCTCTCTTCCTATGATCGAGCTAATGAACCGACCGGCACCAGACTGACACAAGGTGAGGTGAGAAAAGATGATGTATAACGATCGAGGAGGCATGGCAGAAGTGCAATTTGTAGCCAATTTGGAGACGTCGGATGGTCTGGGTACCACGAGGCTTCAAAATTGTATAAAGCGTAGTCGGCCACGGCGGAGGGTTAGTTTGCGTTGAGATTTTTATTGTGGAAGGGTGGGTTCGGAATTGAAATGATGTTTCCTTTCAAAACGACGCGTGTAATCCCGAGCCATCTCCGTGTGTTTCCCAGCCTCGCAACTCTCATGATAATCACCAGAAGTGTTCTTCAACCCTCGCTTTGGAGATGGAATCGACTCTTTGGGAACCGTATGGAAATCGCTTTTTCCCCGGCTTGTCGGTCTGCAGGCCATATTGTGATTCCGGAGATTACCGCAGTTTGAAACCGGCGAAGCAATGCGGCAAGGCCCCCAACAAAAGCCCGATCAGCTGGCTCGCCTTACCCACCACCAACTCCGAAGCGTACAGCTCACCTGACGTCCCTAAGGAATCGACGGCACTTGGGGAGAGAGTTACCGAGCGGCGCGGGCGATCTAAGGGCGTAAAGCTTTCTTTCTACGCCGCTCGGGAGAGTTATGCTTATTCTGACCACTGGAACGTTTGGTCAGCTTCTTGACCTACCCTGGCCGAACTTATTGCAAGAAATAGACGCACTTCTGGATGCTCGCGAAGGATTTCAGGCTCTGGAAGCCATGCCTGTATACCCTGTCTCTCGGACCCCATTCCGGACCCTAAACTATGCAGCGTCCTTCCTGAGACTGAAGCCGGCACTTGGAACCTGTCTTCGCCCAACGGTCCATGAACGAAAAGTGGTTGCGGTTTCTTTGCTATACCCTCCGGCAATCGCAAAGGCCTGCGTTGGCTACCATATGTTCGTCTCGTCCAAGCCATGGCTGTAGATGGGTATTTGGGTTCTCGACGACCTCTCCCCACTTTTCAAGCGCTAACGGTCCACAGTGCATACTGCGGAATCTATGTTTCAACCACCCTTATGCAGGAACCTAGTCAAGTGCCATGTTTCACGCGGAGTTTAAATCGTCATTCGGGATCACCATCCTCCCATGCTCAGGTGAAGCGGCCCTCCACTCTTTCATCACCCAGGAAACTGCATCTCTGGATAATTCGTACCAATACTTAGTGCGCGGTAGTGCAGCTGGGATCTGCAGAGGTCTAGGCATTCCACCGACGTATCTGCACACGCTTCCTGACCTTTAGAGACTGGATTAACCATGTCGCCGTGCGGACAAGAGCCCCATCCTGCGGAAGCTACCGCACAGCGCAGTGAACTATATTCTCGGACTCGCCTCTGCCTGCATGAACTCTTAGCGTTAAGGTCCAACGCCACTACTTTCTTGGATGCCTACCCTACAATAGAGCATAGCTTGTTCCGGACGGATTTGGCGCGTGAAGTAAGGGAACCACCGTGCTGCGGATCAATTCCTTCCAGTCCTTCCATATGGCGATGTCCGTATAGAGTACAAATGCACGATGGCTTCGCTGCAGCCTCTAGATGCCCCCATCCTTTCCTGTTCCCTTCTTTTTTTCTTTCCTTCATTTCTCATTCGCTACATCTGTTTCGATTCGTGTCAATCGTTTCGCTTCTCATATTTCCACAATGAGGTTCCAGACGCTGTTGATGCTAGCGTTTTCGCTCTTTACCTTGATAAGCGCTCTTCCGAACGTCCATGAAGTCGAACATCATGCGCTGGAAGCCCGCGCAAAAAAGAAGACGAAGCCGCATCCTCACCCCAAGCCGTTGCCACCAAAGAACAGACCGAAGCCTAAGCAGCAGCCTCATGAGCCAAAGGAGGTGAAGTGCGATCCTATCTCCAAGTACAGCACCTCGGTAAGTGACACCCCGTTTAACCCCTCAATCAGCCCTGTCTAATGTAGATCGCAGTGGTTCGTCGCCCATGCCTGCAAGCGTCCTCAAAAGTCGAAGTGTCTCTTCTACACTCGCGGCTTGAGCAAGACGGCTAGAGCTTACGGGAAGAAGAACGGCATGATCACCATCTGGGTTCGGCTTCCGCCCCCGGCCCCGCCCACCCTCAATCCCACGTTTTCTGACTAGCACAGGACATGTGGAGTAGCGATCTCTACGACAACTCCATCACCAAGAAGAACAAGCTCCGCTGCATCATGCAAAGCAAAGGCGAGCGCGGCCACATGCGCCAGTACTTCCGCAACATGTCCCGCGCCATGGCCGCCATGTGCGATGTCTTCGCCACTGTAATGGACAAAAACATCAACCCTCAGCACAAGGACTTCGACACGGTCGTGCAGAATGGCATCTGGTACAAGACAGAGTTTCCGCAGCTGTATCTGGGCGGCCTTGGCAAGCGGGTGACGCAGATCGAGGCCATTTCACCGGATGGGAATACTGCGTTTACGTACTGGACTCAGGGCGGGCATCCACAGAGTGAGAAGCGCAATGAGGGGTTGACGTTTGGTTCGAACGTCTCGTTCAACCATACTGCGTTCGACGATGAGTTTGATGCCGATTTTGAGTTCGATGATGCGGAATGGGACGACTCCTGGTTCGACGAGGATGACTTTGACGATGACTTTGAGGAAGATGAGTCGCTTGACCTGAGGTCTCTTGACGCGAGGGCTGCTAAGTGCCCACTGAAGCCTGGGACGACCGATTCCAGGGCTGGCTCCTTCGACATTGGCGGAAGCCACCCAATTGCGTGGTAGACGTGTTTCGGTCAACGCCGGTCCGCTGAATTCTTGTGCCGCTTCGAAAGGTCGACCCGTCTTCATATCCTTCGATTCTTGTACCTTGTTTGGCTTTTGTTGCAATCTCGTCTGTAAATAGCTTGTGGCATATACTATAAACGTTGACTAGGCCGAGCTACTTAGTCATTCCATCGCTAAAACTGGTCTGAGTGATCATATTGCCCGAACTTGTCCGCGAGTTGAGCTTTGGCTGTGAAGACGTCCTCGTCATAATTGCCGGTGGTCGCTGCATCAGTTGCGGCGACTGACATGAGGAATTGGACTGCGTTTGTTGTAACGCGTGGTAATCAGTGGCTGTGACGAGGTTGGAAACTCCGTCATTGGCGACATACTTGCTCTCGAGGAATGCCACCAGGGCGATGAGTAGCGCGCCCGTGTTGCGTTAGCATATTTTTCGCGATTGACCTTGCACTGGAAAGACTTACCGGCCGTTACAACATAGCTCCCGATCGTGAACGCCGTTTGCGTGCTCGCATTGACATCAGCCTTGAAATATGCTGCAGCGATGACAGACCAGAGAACTGAGACGATAAAGCTCAAGACCACCGGAATGAGGATAATGGTGCTTGTGATATAAGGGTCCCAGCTCCTAACAATGTTCAGCGCACATGTTTGCTGTCCGGGTGGAGTCAGAACTGCTTCTGTTTCGAGTCTCTGTACGAGGTCCGTGCCTAGATGAATGTGGGATAGATCAGTAGATGTCGGCCGCTTTAGGAAGAAGCGGGGTTGAGACGTTTTTGCTGTAATAGAAATCTGCACGATCTAGCTAGATATTGAAACCTTACGTACCGCTCATTTTAGAAGGATCCTTCAGGTAATGCACCAGTCGACTGAAGGGACCATGTCTTCCTAAGCCGAGTGGTGGACCGACGCGGGCGCCCACGGCGAAATGCTGCTCGAGCTGGAATCCGAATTAACATCTGGCTCACCCCCGGATACATTATTAGCTCTGGGAGCCGTACCTTGACTACATCGATCCTCAGAGTCGACTTCGCACCGAAGAACTCGAAGATGCCCACTCTTGCCCGGGCCAGATTGTAGAAAACGCGTATATGCCGCACTAGAGCCTTGTCGTCCATCGTTCCAGAGCATGGGATCGCTAGACGATGATCATTGTCGATGAATATGATGACCTCCTTATCGATAGTATGTCGGAGCTTCCAAGCCTCGCAGTAGTCGTTGATGAAGTCGTCCAGGGTGGGCGCTAGAACTGCGTAGACCCGCCAAAAGGCTTTCCATCTTCCGTGCTTCCCGAGGTTGGCTGCACCCATTGCGCATCTCTAGAGCCAGTCAATTGGTGGTTGCCGGGCACGCAATTCTGGGGGACCTCGCACCAGAACGAGCTCGCGAATACTCGCAGAGCTTGCAAAAGCTCCATCACCGCAGCCAAAACAGTGTAACAGCTTCGAAAATAGCCTGATTATCAGCCATGTGGCGTAGTAGATGAAGAAGAGCGTAAATAGCACCAAATGTTTGGCAAAGCGCAGCCATCCTATGATACGAAATGAACCTTCGAAGACTTTGCCGACTGCTATCCTGCGGCTGGAAGCGAAGCGGCTTCCGAGTGCAGAAGAAGAGAAAGGCATGTGCGCTTGTCAGGATTTTGGTATTGAGCAAATGGCCAGGAAGCGCGAAGTTGTTGGAGTGAGAGCTCCGACGCCGTCTAGTGCCAGTGCCTCTGTGGTGAAGCCGGGGAGAATAAGAGAGAATGAAAAGACTCGGAGCGCTAGGCTGAAGACCAGGAATCCCAAGCAGATAAACGAGACGCAACTCAATCGCTTCTCTTCAACTGATAGGGCCAGCCACGTTGATTTCTTGCTTGTTGCCGGAAGGGGTTTTCAGCTGAAGCGCCACAAGACAGGATGGCGTTGTTCTGGCCTGCAAAGAAGCGAGCAGGCGCAAGGGACCCCGCGCGACATTCTGCGATCGCTGGTATCGTTTCGAAAGTAATGGCATACCTAGGCAATAGATGGGACTCCGTCCCGAAAGGGTTGTCAGATTGGATGACATTTGGTCGCTCTGGTTAGTGTGGCGACTGTGGCTGAGAGGCTGGCAGGGCGCGCCGCGAATACCGCGATACTGCGCGAGCACCGATGTCTCTACAGCAATCGCCAGCGTGGAAGTACCCTCGTAGGATCACAATTGGATGCTTGCAGCACGCGCAAAGCAGTATAGAAATTCCCACAACGTCTTCAAAACGCCATATGAAAGCCCCGAAAGCGGTATAGTAGGGTAGAGGTCCTAACAGCTGCGCCGCATCCATCGACCTCCATAGGAAGCGACCACCACTATGACATCGAAACGCGCATAAGCTAGAACGCCGAGTCTCTCGTCTTCGAGATTAAGCTTCCAACATTGTTTACTTCCGATGAACCATGGAGTCTCTTCAGGCTCAGCGGAAGCTGGTCGGAGAAGATATTGCTCAGGATGATGGAGAGAAACAGGTCAACCCAAAATGATGCACACCAGGCCCTGATTGGTGCACAACTGTTCCAACTCATCCAGTGGCTCGTCTTCAGTCCAGTAGTCCTCAGATGCCCATCTCCTTTCTTCCATATCGAAGACGAACTTCTTAAGCAAAGGCGTCGCAGTCATCCAGTCGTCTTGAAAGAACGCTTTGAGTAGATCCATAGTAGATTCTCCAAGCCAAGGTTCAAATACCGGATGATCCCACAAGTCGTCGGCGATAGTCAGATGTTGAAGGTTAAAGGGGAGCAACTGCGCCAGCGATGGGACGCTGCTCGGAGGCGATTGGCCGTAGAGGGCTATCAAGGAGATTTCGAGCTCAGCCAACGAGGCGAAATTCCGGAGGGAGCCGATGCTGCCAGTGACCACTGTTTCCAAGTCGTCCGGGTTGAGTTCGTCACCAAGGATCTCGTATGCTACCCTGAGACTAGACAGTGTGCTGCAGACGTGTTCGAGTCCCTGACGCAGCTTTCCCAGATCTAGGCAGCCGGCGGACGCGGGTAGATGGCAGTCGTAGACGAGCGTTTTGAGCTGCGGAGCGTGCCTCAGCAGAAGCTCAACAGTGTCCGCAGAAACAAACGAGTGGCAGAGGCGGAGCGTCTTGAGTTGCCTCCAAGCCGGCGCACAGCTAGGAAGCGCACTATAGTTGTCAAAACTAAGAACAGTGTCCAGATCGAGGGAGACCACGTTAGGTAGGTGGAAAAATAGCAGGAGGTCATTGCGAGGCACTTTGAGGTCGACTATATCGCTAATTTCTCCCGGGCAAGGTATGGTAAAGTGCTGCAGGCGGTCGAACCTCGACAGATGCTTTACTTCGCTAGGCGCTTCGCTCGCGAACTGAAGCATAGTGCGGAGCCATTCACTGCTTCGGCGTAGGACAAGGGCAGGGACGGTGAGACGCTCCAGATGCGTGCATCGCGCCAGCAGCAGCACCAAAGCAGCGCTCAAGTCGTTCTGGTCGAATATCGCGCGCTTCCAAATGGCTGCATCCGGGAACTGCATCGTGTCAATCGCTCTTTCGACTAGGACCCTTTCTCGCGCATGTTCCGTGAAAGGTGTCGCGTCGTTGGTGTACGCCGTGTAGATCACAGCTCGTCGAATGTGTTGCGCATAAGCAGGCTTCTCTAAAACCGTGCGTAGAAGAGAGAAGAGCCTCGCGGACCGGTCATGGTACCAAGGTATGCGAACCTGGTAGAAGAGCAATGGAAAGGTGGCAGCCCGCAAAGCCTTGCATGTTAAGGATAGGGCGAACAGATTGCTGCGTTCACAACGGCCGCAATCGAATTGCACTTCGCTGACGATTTCGTGTTTGAGCTCGTTGGGCAGGCTGGTCAAGGAAGCCATGATTGGATTGCATGTGAATGCAACGTCGGGAGTGTAGCATAGGCTGTTGGAAAATTGGCGTTCGTGTTGACGAGTACATGTAGGGTTGCTGAGGACATATGGGGTTGCAAAGATGCATAACGCCAAGCTATGCAACTTTCTCTTGCGATAGGGTATTCTCCGAATCTAAGGGCTCGCCGTACAAGTAAGAAAGATCGGCTTAGCAAATTCTGCGTCCTATTGTACGCACATGTAAAGGCCTCTAGGGTAGCTGTTACAAATCCCCACGGTGAGGGACTTACTAGGTAGTCTAACTAGATTCGCGGCTTTAGCCTTCTGAGACTCACAATGTGCCCCGCTCTGCCCCTTTCATCGAAAATGCCTCAGACTTGCGCAATGACCGACCCGGGATTGTGTTTATTAACACATATATATACTTTACATTTCGGCAGTCTGTCATCAATCATCTATCAAACCTCATCGCTCATCGCAGCTGATTACAACAGTTGCGGCAACCGATATAATCACGTGACGCATCGGTGGTTTAGTGGTAAAATTAGCCGTTGCCATTACAGTTTCGGCTAGCCCCGGGTTCGATTCCCGGCCGATGCACATTTTCTCTTTTGCATCCGTTTTCTTTTGCTGGTGTTGTTGCAAAAGTTGCCTTTGTGGGCAAAGCCGGCTATTTGATCAGCGCGGCCAGGGGCGATGCGGCCTAAGCGAGGCACCAGCCACAGCACCGCCACGACCGTGCCTCGCGCCTACGCGACACCCCGCTGCCCGCCATCTCTTTTTTGACTCCCCACCACTCCACGGTGACGGTTGCTCTAGGCGCCCATGCATAGCCTCACAATGTGCAGCAGCAGGCCTCAGTTATGCTTTCGAGGACCTATTTCTTCACCACTGTAATGCCGTGGTGACTTCGTCTCTGTGAAAGTGCCGTCGACATTCACACGCCCTCCATCGGGGCCCAATTACTTATATTTCCTGCTGACGCCTGATTTGTCGTAGGTTTTGATTGCAACCAACTATGGCATTCACGGGGCGAACTCCAGAATCGCTGCTCCCTCGCTCGGACTCGAAAAATCCCGCGACAACCTGCAAAGGCATCACCAAGTCCGGCCGACCATGTAGGCGCGCCATCGACACGACGTTATCGTCACGGAACAATGGTGTTCTGGCTGTAGTGTCAGTGGCCAGTGATAGCGATGAGGAGGACACTGGGGCAGCAGCATTCTTCTGCTGGCAGCACAAGGATCAAGCGGAGCAGTTGGCAGCTGCCAACGCCGAGGGTCCTAGCAGGCAGGATACCAGGCTATATCCTCTGCAGGAGAGGAGCAGCATTGATACACTGGTTGCGCGGCTAGGGGTTCTCGAGGTTGAGGAACCCGCGCAGACGGCCCAGCAGAAGAGACGGCAGAGTAGACAAGAGGAGCGCAGATCCGGCAAGAGACCACCGCGCAGAGTCAACAGGCCGCCCACGTGGGATCAAGTCCAAGGGCCGCTGATGTCGGTGCCGAGCGATGTGATGGCGGAGAAGAATCGCATCGGTCAGCGGCCAGGTGCGAGACCGCAGCGGAAGAAGCCTGGATTTTGGCAGATGCTGTGCTGTGGAGCGGCGGACGATGACTATGTGGAGGTGGTGCGGCATAAGAAGAGAGTACAGGGTCAGGCTTCTCTTCCACCGACTACGCAATATGCGTCGGAGGCTCCGATGCCGCAAGCACCGCATCGAACATATCAATCTCGACCGAGTGATGGTGCTTCGCCAGTCCCACCGTCCGCGCCGCGTCCACCCAGCAGCAGTGTGCCGTCGCGGAAACCCCTCTCCGAGAAACCCGCCCGACCCCTCAACAAGACCGCATCCCCCCGTCCATCAGAGACCTCCACGCTCCTCTCGCACATCCCCAAGTCGCTCCCCCCACAAACGACGTCTACCCTGCTCTCTGAGCTCTCGAAGCCCATCTCCCCCCACGACGAAGAAGGCTACATCTACATCTTCTGGCTGACGCCCGAGGCGCTCGGCCCCGCGCCCTCGTCCACAGCCTCGACGCTGCTCGCGCCGCCCTCCTCGCGGCGGCCTGAGCAAAGCCGTCGCACGTCCGACGTGTTGCGCCAGTACTCTGTTCGGCGCCCGCAGCGATCGAGCCAGCGCCCACCGCGCATGAAGTCTGCAGAGCCTCAGTCCAGCACCAGCGGCGATGATGAGAAAAACACTATTCTTCTCAAGATAGGCCGCGCGAACAACGTCACACGTCGCATGAACGAATGGACGCGCCAATGCGGCTATTCTCTCTCGCTCGTCCGGTGGTATCCCTATGTACCCTCCTCCACACAGTCGCCATCACCCTCCCCCCACGCCTCGCCGGCGCATTCGCGACGCCCTTCGTACCAGAACCGGAACCAGAACCAGAACCAGCGGCCTTCAGACCCCGTCCGAAGAGTCTCGGAGGGCGTGCGCAAGGTCCCGCATGCGCATCGCGTGGAGCGCCTCGTGCACATTGAACTAGGCGAGCAGCGGGCGATGAAGAAGTGCGAGGCGTGTGGGAAGGAGCATCGGGAGTGGTTTGAGGTGGAGGCGAGTCGGGAGGGGGTTAAGCGCGTGGATGAGGTGGTAAGGAGGTGGGTGGATTGGGCGGAGCGGGTGAATGAGTGAGTGATGTGAGTGAGGTGCGGATATATATATATATATAGATAGATACTCTGTCTAGTGTACTTTGATGAGTATATCTGAAGTAGTCTCAAAGCCTTCTTGTCTCCGGGGTGCTGCGGGACTAGATTACTTAACGAACCTGCGGACGTACAGATGCGTTCTATATCACTTATCCTTCTCTTGCTTGTTTCTTACAAGTTCTGGGTGCTCGCTCATACGTGCCGCACACTTAGCAAGAGCGAGTAGCAGTAATGTTTTTCCACTCACTCATTCTATGGTCTGTCTGCACATGAGAGCGCGATCACACTTAGTAAGCCACCTCCAACACTGGAAGAGAAGCGTCGTAAGAGACGGGAATTTTATTCGTGTTTAATTGATTGATTGATTGGTTTGATGGGGCTGGGGTATCTCGTATAAGGTACAAACATGACTGTAAAGCAGCGGAGCAACAAAGAAATAACCGGGAAACAGGGGGAATTCGTCACCATCGTCGTCGTCGTCGTGATGTGCTTTTCATCCAAACGGGGGAGAGCCGTTGGACGCTGTACAAGAGTTTGGGGGCTTTTGCTGGTGCAGAGGAAGGTTGGGATGGGAAGGGCTGATGGGAAAAGAGAAGCCTTCTACCAAGAAGGAAAGAGGACCGTGACCGTGGTAATCATAACTTTTCCGCCTCTTTTGTTTTGGATACCTATGCCACCGGAGTGACTACTTCTCCCCTCGACCCGACTCGGCTCGACTCGGCTCGACTCGGCTCATTAACGTCGTTCGTGGCAAAGACGGCAGGTGTTGAATCTCTGCAGCTCCGCTTCTTCCTCTTCATGGCGCGTAGACATCGTGACTCGGAATAGTGTATGTACAACGGAGTCACGGCGTCCACGCTCCGACCTCTCTCGCCTTCCCCTCGGCGTGGTTGACTCCTCGGCTTAGAAAATGCCCATGCGCGGTCCCCAGGTATTATTATCAGTGGAAGCTTTCGGGTTCACGACGACTTGGTAGGGAAACGGATTCGCGTCAGTAGTAGTAATGGGCGGGATGTGGTCTTTGTCGCGGTTGACGATGGTGATTATCTTGTGCGCTGCTTTCTCGAGGCTCTTTGTCATTGCCCTTCGGACTTTGAGCACATCTGCAGTCCCGCGCGGTCAGCACTCGCTCATCTACAAAACACGAGCGCATGTGGAAGGAAAGGGCGAGGTCTATAGAGGGGAGCGAACGTACCAGTCTCTGTCCTCGGGGTTGCCAAAGTGACGTCCAGCGTCCACTGCTCCCAGCACACATCCTCGTCCGCCTTGCCGAAGAAATACGTCTTCCTCCTCCGCTTCTCGAAGAACTGCACAACTAACTGCCCCCTCCCTCTTTGCTGATGTGTGCTCTCAATTGCGCGCACCAGCGCTATGGTCCGCTGCTCGATCAGCGTCTCCAGATCCACGTCATCGATAGCGGGGAGGGTGAGGTCGAGGAGGTCGCGCGTGAGCGGCGATATCGAGGTGAAGTAGCGGTGGAAGAAGATTGTATGGAGGATAGCTGCGATCGGTTAGCTGTGGGCTAGGGGTATAGGCAGCGGGAAGAGGTTAGACGGGGACGAGGGGCTGTGGGGGACGCGGGACGACACACCTTTCACGACGTCCTTGACGCAGGCCAGATCCGCAAAGATGTCCAGATGATACTCTGGCCGCCGTCTCTGCTCCATGCTCGCATTTGCGTTCTCTCGCAATCCGTCTCGGTGGTGCAAGTAAAAACCCCGCAGGCGCGGGGGGTGGCCGCCGCTTTTCGAATCCCGGCCGGCTCGCAGGACGTTTCAGCAACTGTAATAGGAGGTACGTCTCCCTTGCCCCTTCCCGGCGTGCAAGAGGTTCCAGGCGTGATGGCGACGTGTGTGTGTGTGGCCGAGTATTTGCGCACGGAATGCAGCGAGGGATGGTCGAAGTGCCGGCGAAGCTGGAAATATGTGGCGGCGGGGCACTGGCACTGGGGCACTGGCACTGCGGGCTCTTTTGAACGTGGCGGACGAATGCGAGCGAACAGGCCGAACTAACGACGCGACCGCTCGCCATTAGTCTATCCGACCAGGGGCTGCAGCGCTGCGCGGCGAGACCCAAAGACCGAGCGGCTGGTGAGCGCGGGCGAGAGCATCAAAGAGCCGTCTTTCGTCTTTGTCAGCTGCCAAATCAGCCTCTTTGCTCCTACAAATCGCGTCCCGTGCGCTCCATCGTCGCATACCTAGGTATACGGATGCCGCAGGGTATATTTCCGGCGAGACATGTTCCGCGCATGACACCGCTCTCGACGGACAGATGACGGCTCTGCTCCGGGGGACACATCCATGGATAGCGCGTTGGCGTGTTGGCGGCGTGACAGCTGCGGCGTGCGTCGCTTATAATCGGTAGGCTGGCATCGTATTCCGCAGCCACGCCTACGGCCCATTTGACGTCTGCCTGCATATGCATGTGCCGCCCTACAAAGCCTTATAGGGTTGTGTATGTGGCGGGGTCTGGCTTACGTACAGTACAGTACCACGCTACGATCCGTCTATACAATAAAGCCAACCACGCTCAAGCCAAGACCAGCGAGCTCCCAATCGGTATTGAACTGTGAAGAGCCAAACTTGTGACATCCTGTGCCTCTGTATCTTCACCCGTTCCGACATCTCCAACACAAAGTGCCTCTCTTTCTCTGGCGGGCTATGGCGCGTCGCTCCCCTTACGCCATCAACCCATTCGTATTCGTCGCCAGCCTCCCCTCCTTCTCCCCAAACCTCGCCTCCTTGATCTGCCCCGCCTCATCATCGCTATCCACAAACCCATACTCCCGAGCCTTCTCGTCGATCTCGCGGTCACTAAGGTATGGCAGCTCCTTCGACGCCCGGACGTAGCTCATCTTCTCCATGTATCCCTTGGCGAAAATGATGTCAATCTCCTCCAAGCTCCGCTTCTTCGTCTCGGGGTAGAACAAGTAGATAATGGGGAAGAAGCCCGCGTTGATGCACGCGAAGACGAGGTATGTGCCCCAGCCGATGTTGTCGATCATGACTGGCGTGATCATGACGACGGTGAAGTTGAAGAGCCAGTTCGAGCATGTGGATACCGCGTTTGCTTTGGCCCGCGTCTTCAGCGGGTTCACCTCCGCCGGGTAGAGCCAGGGGAGAGGCAGCCATGTGGCGCCGAAAAAGGCAATGTATGTGAACAGGCCGACGGCGGCGCCTTTAGCAGCCGAAGGCGTGTCCGGGATCAAGCAGCCCATGACGAGCACCATGGAAAGACATTGACCAACGGTGCCGATGAGGAAGAGCTTCCTTCGGCCAGTTCGCTCAATAATAAACCAGGAAACCGTAGCGAAGATGCTATACACGATCATGTTCACTCCTCCTAGGAGCAGAGACATCTGCTTGGTCTCACCGATCGAGTTCTCGAAGAGTAGCGGGAAGAAGTAGATAACAGCGTTGCAGCCCTGTGGTTCCCGTGTTAGCAACGAGCAAAATAGACGTGGAGGTAGACAGGAAGGGATATGCATACGCCAATCTGCTGGAAGAGCTGAGAAGACGCGCCTAGCATCATGCGCCGAAAGTGCTGCGTCTTTCCACCCGTGAAGAGAGCACTGAAGGGCGTCACACCGCCCTTGTGGCCCGAGGCGCGAATACTGTCGACGATGACGGCGGCTTCGAGCTTCGTTTGCTCGTCGTCCACATGGAGGCCCCGAAGTGCGGCAATGACCTTCATGGCTTCATCGTGGCGATCTCTGCTGAGCAGCCATCGAGGGGATTCGGGTAGCCAGATGGGGAACAGGAGGACGACAAGACCGAATACGACCTGGAAGGCAATCGGGAACCGCCAGGTGAGGTCGGGAGGGCCATACTGGCAGCCATAGTCTACCCAGTACGCAATGAGCGTACCGAATGCAATGACGCCGCCCTCGATACATATAAGAAGGCCCCGATTCTTTGTCTTGGAGCACTCGGCCTGATATGTCGGGATGGTACTGGTGTTGATGCCGTTTCCAACTCCAGTAACTGTGCGGCCGATGATGAACTGCACCGTCTGCTTGTGCCCCTTGACACAGGAGACCTGGATAATAACCCCGAGAATCATGATGGCGGCACCCAGGATCATGCCTCGGCGACGCCCGATCGTATCGCCAAAGCACAGGATCAAGACGGCGCCGAGGAGGCATCCAATCTCGTAGATGGCGGTGACGAATCCTTGCCAGGTAGCGTCGTTGTAGGTCTCGGGAAAGTAATGCATGAATGGGTCGGCTGAAATGATGCCGGACATGACTCCCTCTGAGGGTGGATTAGTATCTGTCCCAGACCACTACGAGATGGTGAGAAGTGACTTACGGTCATATCCGAACAGCAAGAAGCCGGTCGTAGCCACGATAGACACGGCCAAACTGAGCGGCCTCCCAGTCAACCCCATGAAATGGGGGTGCTTGGTAGAGTCCCTCAGGGACGATTGCGAACCGGTTTGAGACATGACGACTCTGGATCCAGCCAGTCCTGGTAGGATAAGATGAAAAGCGTGTGCTTGCACGCGGAAGGGAAGGGGTATAAAACTTGCAGTGACAGAATCAACAGCGGGGTTTGCGACTATCACGCAGTGCGGGGACGCAGGGTCTTTATCTACTTGTACCACGCTCCCCCCAGCTCGCCCTCTCGGTTCAGTGGCACGCAGTCTCCATGCAGAGATTGCGGATTACGGTACCATGCAGTCTTTTGGTTCCACATTAGCCTTCAGCGACGTCATCTGGTAAGACCTTGACCGGAACTCTCCACTTGGAGGTCGTACTTGTGGATCGTCGAGAAAATTAGCATGTGTTGAAGGCTGGCGGTGATGGGAAGCGGAAGGTAGCGAGGCAAGCGTTTCGGCATTCCCGTTTTCGTAGAGCTAGGGTCAGCCTCATCCTGGTAAAAACTGGGGAAAAGCGGGAATGGCGCTGCAGATCTCGGGCGTTGAATCTGCGTGACGTTTATCGCACGTTCCAAGGTTGTTTGACCGAGGCTTCTCCGGAGCCGAACGTGGTGGCATGGAAAGGCCAACCACTGAGAGAACATGGCGGAGAAGCTAAGGATGTTGGTTGCGACGAAGCAGAAGTTGGAACAAGAAATGAGTGGGGCTTTCTTTGATGTTTTGTGGATTCTTGAAGAATTCGTGCAAAGGGGACCTGAAAATCTCTTGCGCCGAGCTGCCGGGCGCCCGTCGGTTATTCCCTGAGAGGTCGTGAGAGGCTGGAGATAAAATCTTGGGATTCTTGCTTGCAGAGAAGCATGCCGCCAAGCACTGCATTTGATTCGGTCCGTTGCGAAGACAAACCGGGAAGTGGCGGCGCTTCTTACCATGCACCATCACGCGTGTTGTATTGCCGGCTTGAGATACCCTTTGTAGAAGTGGGAAATAAGGCGTTGCCATGGGCGGCCAGTTGTTGCGGAGGTTTCCAACGGTTGGGTTGCAGTCCCCGGGCGCCCATGTGAAAGTGGGTAGTGGCACTGAGAGAGCCGGTGATATCAGTGGCTGGAGTCTCGCCGAAGGATACGAAATCGCAGGTAGTTGCACGACTTGCTAAGGTTGCAATTGAAAGATCCGGTTCGAGAAATTATCGAGCGGCGGGTTGGTGCTGACTGCTGAGGGAGGTGTCAGAAGGAGCCCTGGAGTGCCAAGGCTGGTCGGTCGGCGAATGGAAACGCCGACGTCAACGCGAAAAGTCGCGTCCAGCAGCCTCGAGCTGCCCCAAGACAACCACCTTGCCGGAGCACGATATGGCCAGCGCGAAGCGGAAACGGAGCGATGACGATGCAGAGGATGCGACCCCACGAAAGTTGCGCGCTCGACCTCCGCAAGACGACACGTTCGGCGAGCAGGAGGCCGATGAGATCCAGACGCCGTCCAGGCGAAAACGAGGGCAGCAGGCAGCAGAAATTGGGACCCCGAGATCCATTCTCAAGAAGACTGGTTTGGCGAACGGCATCAATGGCACTACGCCAAAGTCCCACCGCAAACTCGTCTTCGAGACGCCCACGAAATCCGTCGAGAGGGCGACGCCCAACGGCACCCCGACCATCGTTCGAAATGCGGATCGCAGCGCGCGACGCAAGAGCAACAGGAGGCTGATCGAGCGGACAATGAACGGAGCGGAGAGCGATGAGGAGGCATTGGACGAAGAGGAGGAGCTGGCCGAGCGCATCTTGAGCGACGAAGACGGAGAGCAGGATGACACACAGGCAGCCGCTGAGGAAGACGTCCCAGCTCCAGAGACGCCATCAAAGCGAGGAAGAGGGCGTCCGAAAGGGTCAGGCAAGAAGGGGAGACCGCCCAAGCAGCGCTCTCCGACGCCGCCGCAGGAGCTGCCCCCGCACGAAGAGTACTTTTGGCAAAACCGGCCTGGAGGCACAAAGACGTCGAACAATACCCTCCCACCACAAATTTTGCTCAACCACGACGAATACTTTCAGGCTATGCAAACATACCAGGACCGGCATGAGTCCGAAATGAAGTTTTTGTTGGAATTACACAGCCGTGCGTACGATCAATGGATTTTCGAGCTTGAAGAGGGCTTCAACCTTTGCTTGTATGGTTACGGCTCTAAGCGCCCCATAACGGAACAGTTCACGGCACATCTCTACCGGCATCTGGTTAACCAGAAGCCCTACAAGGGGACAAAGAAAACACCGAAAGTTGTCGTCATCAATGGTTACGCGACCGGAACGACACTGAAGGATATCCTGACAATAGTGGCATCCGCAGTCGTCCCCACAAGCATCAAGCTGCCCAATCAACTGAACTCTCTGCTTGCTTTCATCCTTGAATATCTCTCCGAGAACCCACCATCGCATCCAATCCCGATCGTCCTCAACTCCATCGACTCGCCATATCTTCGCAAATCGCCGGTGCCCGCCATGCTCGCAACTCTTGCGGCCCATCCTTCGGTCAATTTAATTTGCACCGCGGACACTCCGAATTTCCCGCTGCTATGGGACGTAGGCCTTAAATCGCAGTACAAATTTCTCTTCCACGACGCGACAACATTCGCACCCTACGACGCTGAAATAGATGTCGTGGAAACCGTCAACGAACTCCTCGGCCGGAGCGGTAGGCGCATCGGCGGCAGAGACGGGGTTGGTTTCGTCCTGCGCTCGCTGCCTGAAAACGCACGAAAACTTTTCCGCATACTCGTCACGGACCAGCTAGCCCTGCTCTTCATGGATGAAGGAGGGCAGGATGAAGAGGATTCTGCGAGAACGCCGAGCAGCAAGTATGCGCGGACTAAGAACACGATTTCAGACTCTACTCAGGGTATTGAGTACGGGATGCTCTATCGCAAGGCGATGGAAGCGTTGGTCTGCACGAGTGAAATGGGCTTTAGGACTTTGTTGAAGGAGTTCCACGACCATCAGATGATCGAGAGCACCAAAGACGCAATGGGTACGGAGCGGCTGTGGGCGCCATTCCGACAGGAGGAGCTGGAGGGGCTGGCGGAGGATCTATCTGGTGACGCGCTGTGATTGCATACGAATTATACCGGCGAATCGTACGATTTGGCATTTATTCTTTTCGCGAGGCTTTTCGGCTTTTCGTGTCCCATCCCTTACATATCATCCCCCGCTTCACACGCACATTCCAGAGTCCTCCCTGCAAGCCACGCGCTCCATGCTAATGATGCTTATTGGTCAGCGTGGTGAAGGCGGGCAAGTACATTCCTGTGGCTTTTAGCCCGATTAATGCGCGCGATGAGGGCACAGCTTACGATCTTATTTCCCCGCCATGAGCGGCTATCATGGCTGGAGCAGGAATGAAATAGACTCATAAAGCTTCTGTTGGTGCCGCCCCGGCTCTGTCGGATTAGTACTCCTTGGGATAACCCTCTACCGCCAGCACAGCTAGTCGGCAAAGCGTAAACTATGCGTCTCCTTACCATCCTCTTCACACTTCTTGTATCATCTCCCTACGCCTCCGCGCGCCCTGATGAGGACGAGGACGAGGGCCAGTCCAGCACTATTACTTCTTCGGCGACGCTAGCGTGTGCGAGCGGAGACGCTAAATCGTACGTTGCGCATTCTCGTGAACAAGGAATGATCCGAACACTGACGCATCATAGCAAATACGAATTCTGCTCCTCATCCATCTCCTCCAAGATCGACGAATGCGACGATAATGATCTAGCCTGTGCATGCACGCTCGCGAACTCGGGGTTCAAGTAAGTCGATAACTGCTTCCTTCTACCTCGTTATACCTCTTCCCTCCTCAATCATCCTACGCTGGTTCCCCTCTCATCCGCCATCCTGCCCCTCTATGCCTTCTTGCAGAAAGTACGACTAACCACCAACGCAGTTGCCTCACCTTCTACTGCCCCACGCACACCGAAGCCGTCTGCGCCGGCTCCCTCGCCCTCCACAACCTCTGCGCCCTCGTCAACGCGCCCCAACCTATCCTAACACACCTCTCCTGCCCCTCCACCATCCCAGACCTCCTCGCCACGCTCATCCCTTCCCCCTTCCGCAGCCTCATCCCCTCAGACGTCGAGTCTTTACTGCCCTCGGATATCAACAGCCGCATCCCGACGGTCATCCCGTTCTTTAATGGGGAGGAGACGGGCGTGACGAGCACGACGGATGGCGGGAGTGGAGGAGGGCAGACGGGAAGTGGGACTGCGATGCAGGTGCCAAGTCAGACGGGCGCCGCGGGGGCGAATAAGGGGTGGACGAGGGGCGCTGGTGCTGGGGGTGGTGGGGAGGGAGAAGGGCTGAGGGTTTTCTTGGGCGTGGGGATTGTGGTCAGTATTGCTGTTGGGTGGTGGGCTGCTTATTTGTGAGTGGGATTTTCTGGGGCTGAAGGGCGTGAATGTGTTGTTTTTCTTGCCTGTTGGGGGTCGCTGGAGGTTGGGATGTGAGCGGAGGAATGCTTCCATGACGTTGTGGCTAGGTAGATGGTGTATGCTAAGCGGCCTCGGAATCACGAAGATATGAATGCATTGCTTATGAATACTTTCTAATTAACCCGGGCGATAATTATGATTATGCGTAGCCTACAACTATAGGAGAGATTCAATCGACTTGAGTAACCATCCACCAGCCTTATCATTCCCCCACACCATCATATCCCTGCTCTCCACTCTTCTTGCGGATCAACCCGGCTCTCCTTGCCACTGCCCTCTGAAACTTTTCGTCTAATAACGCTCCTTCAGATGTCGAAGAAGTGCTTCCTCTACTCGAAATGAGTTCATCTTCGCGAAGAGTCGTTGATCAAACGCGTACATGATGCCGCTCATACCGCAAAACGAGACCCACAATCACTCCTATGCTTGTAGCTGTGTTTCTGGAAATTCTCGTCATATGTGAATTTCTATATATATTCTAGGCGAAATTGCCTCAGTGAATAAAAAACTGAAACTTCGCCGCGTCTTGCCCTGAAATTTCTCGTAGCAAAATGGAAGAGCAAGGCGTCAGTGAGCGCATAGCATGAAGTCTACAGGTGGTGACAGACATTAGTGCCTGGCTACCAGCCCTAAACTTTGTTTTCGCTTTCACGCAAAGAACCTTGATTTCTTATAAATTCCGCAGTCCCTCAGCGCCTTACCCATACAACGCCCAAATTCTCTGACTTAAACGCTTCGTCTCTCGAGCCATTAACAGAACTATTAATGAACCAAGCAGCATCCAATTTGATAGCCGCAACGGCCAGTAAAGCCAACGAACGCGTCCCGTTCACTCCCACCGAGACGGATGCAGCCCTCGCCAGTCGTAGCCCATTCCGCTTCCTCGATCTACCTAAGAACATACGGCGAATAGCCTACGACTACATTTTCGCACAATGTCTGCGGTGTGTCATGGGCCCAGAGTTCGGCCTCTGGTTTGAGGACGTCCGACCGTGCATCCCGCTTCTGCAGGTGTCTAAAACGGTGAACGATGAAGCGAGCGCTGGCATGCACATCAACCGCTTCCTGCATCCCGTGACCCTCATCATCACCATGGATCGCGGCGCTATTGATTGTCTTGAGATGGTGCTGAACATGCTATGCTTGGGGCACAACTACGATCTCTGGCATCAGCGCAACGCGAAAGCTCAGAAGCGACCATCGGAGGGGCTAGATAAATTCACGCTCAAGCTGCCAACGAGTGACTTCAAAAAGCGAGTGCGGCAATATTATCGGGCGCAGGACTACGGTTGGCCGCAATGGAGCGACAAGTACGACGTTCAACTTGACGACTTCTATCGTTTCGCGATGTTCCAACTCCGACGCCAGCCAGTGATTGAAATTAGATTGTTGATTGGCGATGGAAACGATTGCGAGCACTTGGTGTACGACCGCAGGCATGCCCGCCACTGCGTGGAGGAACCTTATCACCTTCTTGAGGACCTCAAACGCAAGGTTGTCATCGTGAGCGCCAATGCGGAGATCGAGGCGCACGCAAAGGGCAAGGAGGAGCTGCGGGAGGAGGCGGAAGGCTTGGTGGATGGCATAACTTGGGAGCTGGCTTCCTCTGCAATGGAGCTGAAGCTACTAAAGAAGCGTAAGAAGAAGAGCGGCAAGAGGTAGTACTAACGTACTTTATCATCGAACCCCCCACGATTTCTTGGCAACGACAATCTACGAAAATCAACCCGTTTTTCTTAAATAACTAAGCGAAACCTTAATATTTTTCTATAAAACTTTATATATATATTCTTTATAGTATATTACACCTTATAGTAAAGTTACACTAAGATATATTACGTAATTAAAAAGCTATACGTATTTAACTAACTTTTAAGAAAATTCTAGTTTACTTCTAGTAACGTACTTTACTAGTAAACGCTCTATACTACTAAACGCTCTAAAAATACTAAGCTCTTACTAAATACTACTATCTTAATTATAAAGCTTTCTA